TCCCATTTCAACGTTTCCAAGTATGTCTTGACCCCTTTCGCAACATGGTCGAGCATTGTTATGCTGTAAAATCACTTTATCGTGTCTCTCGTTGTATTGCGGCTGTGTCTTTCAATGCTCGGCTCAAACGCATCAATTGCGTTCGATACCGATCGCCTGTGATTGTTTCAGTCGGTTTTAACAGTTCATAATACACTATGCCGAGTTGGTCCCACCAAATACAGAGCATGACCTTGGACGTCAAAATCACTGTTCTTGAAGCGTTGAAACCACTCACGACACGTTCTTTCACTAATAGCGGTCTCACCATAAGTATTTGAGAATATTCGATGAGCCTTAGCCGCAGATTTCTTCATATTGAAGCAAAAAATTAAAACCTCCCGCAAATGACGAGAATTTGGCTCGTAAACTGACATTTTCAATCGAGAATAACTTCATTATGCAGACACAAATCGACTAATGTTTCTATGGGATTATGTTGACAGATGCCCAAGTTTATTGTATGACGTCTATGATCTATTTATTTCGACCACCACTTACCGCTAAAGCCATCTATAGGAAAACGGCGGAAGCAAAGTTGTACACCTAATAATTTAAATAATCTCAGCGTTTAGTTAATTAGCATTTAGTTAGTTAGCATTACCATCATAAAAAATTGCAACATCGTTATCAAATTGTTTATTATAAAAAATAACGGTAAAGTAACTGAAAAGTAACATTTGTCAATCGTTTTTAAATTATAGGTTAATTTGTTAGTATAGTGTTATATATGATTTATTCATTATACTATGTACGATTTACTTTTGAACAATGATGCCTGATCCATAGATGCCGCCATTTTCATTTGGCCGCGGTCGAGATAAGGAATAATTGTCACCGCATTCTCCGCACTTTCCACCATTTGTCCCGTGCTGAATCTAATAAAAAATTATATCTATTTTTTTTTTAAATCACTTAATATAGATCTTTTTTCATTTCTGATCAAATTGCTTCCCATACAGCGCAGAAAGATTACAAGAAAATTAAAGGAATATTTCATTGAAAAGTTGAAACATTGTAAAATTGTTGCAATGTTGTTGCAACATTGTTGTAATAATGCAGCAATCGTCCTTCAAAAAAAGAGGGTAGTTCACTTACACACCGCCAATCACAGCGACTTCTGCGTAGAGAGTTTTTTTTACTTTTTCTCTAACGTTATGATTGACTAATTGGCATAATTGGCTCATATGCAATTGATATACACCTCAAAAAGAATGCAATGGAAATTTGTAGCAACATTGCAATATATAAGATATTTAGAATCACGCAATATAGCTATTACAAAAAAAAAGATTTGTTTTTTTTAGCTCCCCGAAGAAGGGGGAGGTTCTAACGATTATCTTTAATAATTGATGCGCTGAAACCAATGTCTAAAAAGTTCTAGAGCTTTGAAATGTCAGATTTCGAATTTTTCTACTTCAAGGCGCTAGAACATTTTTATTTGCGGTCTTAGCTATGCATTATTAAGAATAATCGTTAAAATTCTTCGGGGGACTATTAGAACTCTCAATACAATGCAAGATTTTCGAAGAAAAATTTTAATTTGCGTGAACTTAGAAAAATTCAGAAGTTGAAACTTCAAAGTTCTAGAACTTTTTAGACATTGTTTTCAACGCATCGGTTATTAAGAATAATCTTTAGAACATTTTGGGGGCTATCAGAACTTATAATAGAATAGTCAAAATCTAAAAAAGAATTTTTTTCTTTAATTAAAAAAATTGTTTCTAAAAAAATTTTTTTTAAATTTTTTCGTGAGAGTTCTAGTATTTTCTTGAGAGTTCTGGTTGCCTCCAAAGAGTTCTATCGATTGTCCTATATAGATCATAGCTGTAATGAATATAGCTATAATGAACAGTAAAGAAGTTACAGCTCTTCAAAGTTTTGGTAAATTTGCCCTCTCCCCCCTCCCCCTCGAAACTTCAAATGATATTTTCACCGCTTTAATCGAAATTCTTTTTAAAATTGATAGAGAACTCTAGAAACTCTTCGAGGGGCAGCTATAATTCTATTTATTTTTTCAAAATTTTGAAAATGAAGGACCAGCAATTGACAGAGATGCGAGCGTGCGCTAATTCATTTCTGATTTTTTTGTTTCTTTTGTGCGAAATTATTTTTTCTAGTTAAGAGGCGCGCGGTGGCAAGACTTCCTCGAATTTTTCGAATCAGCTTGCATAACCCAAGAGGTTACAAGCAACGTTAGAGTTCTTCAATTTATATTGCGCGCTCTAAGGTGTAAGAATTTACGGCTTGCAATGATCTACATCAGAGGCGCAATTCCGTAACTATCTTTACATGCCTACCGACGTCGGCGTTGCGCAGATATTTTTTATTTTATATGATGAAAAAGCTGCGCAATGACCAACAACTGTTCTTCTCGGCCGCCGAATCTCGAGCAGTAGTGAGGATCGCTCGCTGGAATCAGCCCGAAATGTGCAGATTTTTGCGAGCACTGACAATTCGCGAGGCCGCGTGATTGACAAGAGCCAATTGGCGCGTGATATGATCCCAATCAGAGGGGAGCCGAACGGCCTGCACGAATCCACGAAAAATTTCCGGCCGGCAGATTGTGGCTGAGCCTGTATATGATATAAGAAGACAAGGAGTGTACAACCAAGGACTTCGATTTTTTCTCTTGGTTATTTATTTAAAACTTCCAAAAATTCAGATTATTTCGTCTTTACATCAAATTTAATTTAAGCGGACATAAAGTTTAGTCGTGTCGTTAATCGCGCACGAACTATGAACAGTAATGTAAAAGTGGTCATTTATCAATTTGTGAAAATTTCCGAGAGAAAGAATCGAAGTCCTTGGGTATCATCCTCGAGAATGCGCAGAAAGTGAATTGAGGCCAAAATTTAATTGACTATTCTAATATATCAGCGCTATTATACGTAGGGAAGTACATAGAAGCCAAATTTTAATTGATTGTTTCCAGTATCGTTATTATGTTCAATAGTACACGGAACATCTTGCATTCTCATCATGGTTGAGCCGATAATTTGTTAGAGGACATACGTCGGAGTTGCTGAGTTGCTATAAACGAAATCAAGGCTGTCATTAAAAGGATATCGGAGAGTACAGGGATCATTGGGAGAACGTTACGAATGTAATTGTAAACCTACCGATCTTGGGATACCGAGCGTCGGATGGATCGTGGAAACTCAAGAATTTTCGAATGGCCGATCTAATGGTTGCCATGTGAACTTGCAAAATTGCGAACTACGTGCCATTCGCCAACGCATTTTCTTTTCGAAATATCTTAGCTGCCGATTCGCGTTCGCCTCCCTTGCCATAGGTGAGTCATTTTGTGTTGTATCGAATTCGTCTATGTAATTCCATCGTGTATTGAATAGTCGAAATTTTTGCTAATAGCGATAACAGTTATTGTAGTGACCGCGCGGAAAGTCCATCCCGATTTATGGCGAAGTTATCCATTTGAGTAACATACTTTTATAAAAATACGAGCTCTTGTATACTGTCAACAGATTTAGTTCGCATTTGGTTGTCGTACAATAGTCGCCTTCTAAGGTGATCGCTCGTAGAGTCAAGATTTAGTATAATTGTTGACCCGACATTAATAAAGAAATATCATTGTTTCCTGTGGATGTTGAACCTATAAGATTACGCCTATGGAGTGAGGCTTCAGACTTAATTATAAGCCGACATATTGAGTACACTTATTAATCATTTTATTATTAATTTTTGTGTCATTCTTACCCTATCTCTTTCGTCTTTCGACAATTTCCCCAAGTAACGACTCACCTTCGTTGCTGTCGTGAATTGTAATTTAATTTAATTTAATTTAATTCAATTTAATTTAGTTTATTGTGTGAAGTTTTATGAAAAAGATTACATGTTAACAGTAAGAGTAATAATATAATAAAATAAAATACAATACAATAGTAGCTTGTAAATAGTTAAACGTCAGCAAAATTGCTGTTACAAAGCCTATCAGCAACAAAACCGGAAATAACAATGCAATTAGAGGTGAACCGATAACTGAAATCATACACACGCACACATACACTCACACACATACACACGCGCATATACACCAATTACCCGCAAACACACCAATTTCCCGCAAACACACCAATTTCGTCAGTCTCGCTTAAATATTGTGAGTGACGCGAGGCAGCGGAACGAAAGGGAGAGGTTTTTATTGAATTAGGAAGAGAATTAAAATATTTGAGAGATGTAAAAGAAAACGGCATGGAACTTAGTGGAACAATGTATGGGAAAGGATAAGTAATCTGATGACAAAAGGGTTAAAAGAGGAATGATGTTCAGAATTCAACTGAAGAAGACATCGTAGATATAGGAGTATTGGAAGGAGAGAAAATACAAGATAGCACAGATGGAAAATAAAACGTGACCATATCTTAAGCTTATTTAATTGCGCATAATTATCCACATAGTAATTGTCTCAGCAAAATCGTACAAATCTGTTGCTTATGATGCTGGCAAGTTGCCAGCATCATAAGCAACAGATTTGTTTTCAACAATTTCGAATATATCAACATTGTAGCAACATACAGATAATGTGCATGTGTATTTTCAGCAGTTTAACAGCAAGATCGCTGCATCAATGTTATCTTGCATTTTCAATATGACATTGTATGATGCTGCATATTGTTATGGCAGTAGTATGAATTTGATGACGATTTTCAGAAAGTTATCGACAAACTACTGGTAAGTTGCTACTCAAAGTTATCATATTGTGAAGGCATCAAGTTTTCAACAAATGAGGACTCAGTTGTTGCAATTCTAATAGCAACATATGCTTAGCAATTCATACTAGCAAGCAACATACCAGCAACAAGATAAACACGTTGCTATGGATAATTTAAAGTAAAATTAACGAAAGAGGGACACGCTCTCTCATGCTCTCTCCAACTTGTTTAGAGAAAGCTCTAATATATTTGTGAAAAATCTATCTGGTTGTCAAGTTATCTTGTAAAAATTTAATTAAGAAAAAGGGTAAGTTAACTTTTTTTTAACTAAGTTAAGTTAAAGTTAACAGCCTTTAAGATTAAACTTAATTAAGATAAAAATTAATTCATAGTGACATTAATTAAAAGTTAAGTTAATGAAAAAAAGTAATTAAAAAGTTAAAAATTAAATTTGTTTTATTTTATGATTTCAAGTTAACTTTCTTTCTAATTAAATTAAAAACTAAGTTAAAAATTAATTTTTTTAATTAATAAGCAGAGACTTACATACGTATTTACGGATTTTGATCAGCTTTTCTATGATTATTCTGGGGATTAAAAAATAATTCCTATGGAGCAGAAAATTGCACTTCTGCATATTTTTCGAGAAAATCGTGATTTTAGGTCATGGTAACGGATCAAACTTCTTTGTTTAAATATAAATAAAATATTTGAAATTATTTAAATTAGAAAAATATATCTCCGACAGATACGAATGTATAAGTACATACAATCCAAATATAAAATCCGTATAACGCTAACTATCCAATCCTGATGTAAAAAATCAAATGAAAAGTTAATACTTATCGATAAAATATAACTATGTAAAGTTAAAAAATTAAAAGTCTAAAATGTAATTAAATGAAGTTAAATTTAATTAACTTTTTAACTTTGTAACTTAACTTTTAACTTTTTAATTTAGCATTTAATTTAGCACCTTGAAGAAAAGTAATAGAGTTTGCGAAGTTGTGCCGTCACTCGTGAGTATGGTCATAATACTTATTGTATAGGTCACGGACTAAGGGCGCAGTGTAAACGTAATCTATATTTCTGTTAGGACAACTTTCAAGTCTAGTAGGATAACTTTCAGTTATGATAAATTTCAATTTGTAATCGATATAGTAAATCATATAAAGCAAATTTAAAACCAAAGTAAAGCAAAAAACTTAACGTATTCAGTTTGTATCAATAAAAAAAGATAGAGTGAGCTTATTATCATATTTTGATCTCCTTCAACATGATGACCTATATTAGAAATAAGTTATGTTGTAAACCTATTTTCGGTCAAAGCAGATTTTAGTGCTTAGATATTTGAGAGTAAATTTAATATTAAACGTTCTATAGACTCCACGCAAAATCTTTCCTTTTGAAATTTGTTCGTCGTTACAACTCTCAGACATTTATAAAAGAAGCCATCAATTAACAATTTTAAAAAATTTGAGCGCCTAACAAATTCCAGTTATTTATAAATCAAGAGAAAATATCAATTATTGTTATAATGTGTGGCTGGAAACGATAAACTGCAAAAAATGGAAACATAATTTATTAAAATAAGCAGATTATTGGGAGAGTTCCTTCAAGAAAAAAACTAATAGCAAATAAAACATAAATCTATGTCACACAATAGCAGAATATGACAAAGCTAATCACTGGATCAATCAACTGGATATCAACTGGAAAATTCCATTCTTACATATATTGTAAATAACTGTCATCATATTATTTACATGATCCTGAAACAGAACAATCAGTCCTTACACTACCAATTCTGAAGATAAAGAAGTAGGGTAATTAAAATTATGCAATAAAGGGGAGGCCGCCCGAATCATTTTGACTTTGACATTATGTTGTCAAGGTCATGCCCTGATCAGTGACCTTTAAAAGATTTTAATCGACGCTCGTTATTTGTAAAAAGGTTATCAACAAAAAAAGTTTAAAAAAATAACGTTTTCTTGCTACATACAATTGCTACATACATATTGGAAACTTTTATATCCTCCCTTTTGCCTAGGGGCGCACGACATTCCACGCGAAGCGAGTTCCACTTCACCTCTCCCTCTGCTTAGGAGCGTGTGATTTTCCACGCGAAATAAGATCTACTCGCATAAAAAGTTGTGCGCTCCTAAGTAAACTAATTGTTTATAATTATGAAATTATAAATCAATGATAAGATCTAAACGTGATATTTAACAAGTTTTTGAAAAAGAAAAAGTTTTAGTACAGTACTGGAATTTATTTGCAATTTTCAGCCGATTTTCAGTTTGATTCTCTTATCCCACCACCCGCGCGCAGTGCCGATCGGCATTTAGATTGCGCGTGAGATAGTAAGATAAGAGACGAGAACCGTATAAATCGATTGAAAGTTGCAAGTAAATTCCAGCACTGCAGTATATGCAAGTTATGTTTGAAAGAAATTAAAACCTCTAGAAACACAATCAATTTAAGAGATTCATCTAAAAAGACCAGATTTTTAATTTAATTTTTCTAAAATTTAAGCAATATTCACTCAAATTTTATTGAAAAGTGTTCCAAAACGAAGAACAATTTCAACAAAATTTCAGTCATATTTTTCCACCAGGATAATCATGGACTTCATTAATAGTTACTGTTCAAGTAACTACAGAAATTTAACTTACGAAATCTGAATAATTCTCAATGATTCCATACGAAATAGGAGAAGATGCGGCACATAGTGACAGGAAGCATCATGTATGACTGTTATTGGGTTGTCCGGAAAATTCATGTCGATTTTGAAGGAAAATTGAAACGCAGAAGATTTAAATTTTAGTATACATTTATTAAATTAGGTTAGTCGGCACGAACTTTCCGGACAACTCAATAACAATCGCTTTTTTTTTCAAAACGCAGCAAGCGCAGCCGAACATTAATCTACACAAAAGAAAAACGTTACAGAAGAATTTTGATGAAATTTCAAAAGCCTATGAGAAAAATCATAGTGACGGGAAGAATATAAAGAAATCTAATCAGACAGAAAATTTGTTTTTCAGTTTTATAATTTTGTTTCTCAAGATAAGGCATTTCTTTTGATGGCATAAATATATATGGCCTGTTGTAAGATGATATTTAATATTTTATTTAAGATCTATGATCATATTAATGCAAGTCTCGTATCACTATCCACATGAAGTTAAATGATAAAGGTTGGAGTAGAATAGGAGTATAGTAGAACAGTAATTCTTGAAGTACATTGTGACATACTTATTTTTGTTTATCTCATCTTCACTTTGTTATCATTGTTTTTTTATTGATTATTAATTAAGCATGGTTCAACACAAAAGAAAAAAGACGTATA